GCAGACAGTGGGGCCCAAGCTGTTATCAGCGGAAGAACAATAGAGCCCAAGCTGTTATCTGAAGCCAGGACCAGGCCTTGGCAGCAGGGGGGAAAGATATGAAGCCCAGCTGCCCTCAAAGGAAGGATGAGGGGCCTGGACTGTTATCAACACTGACCATTTGCATAAGAAAGGAAACCAGACTCAAAATAATGTTGGTCAGCAAGAATAATGATGACCAGCATAAATAACGATTGTCAGCAAAAATAAAAACTATATAGATCATGTTCTAAATAAGTGGAACCAGGGAGGGGACATGCTAAATACTTGTTCAAAAAGTTTGAATATGCATTAAACCCTCACAGCAGGAGGGGATAAAAAGAGTGTTCCCGAGATAACAGGTGTGCTCTTGGCAGCGCGCCAGAGCACCCGGCCGTTTTAACCCTTTGCTTTATTTCCTTTGTCTCCTAATTGTCTTTTTGTTTATATTAAACTTTTTATAATTTATTAAGTGAATCTCGTTTCTAATACACCCTTTTCAAAGGCTGGGACAGAGAGTGCTCAAGGCCTGGCTGCATGGGGCTCTAAGCAGCCTGGGCGAGGGGAAGATGTCCCCTCTGCCAATGGGAGGGGTTTGGAATAGGATGGTCTTTAAGATCCCTTCCAACCCTGGCCATTTTATGATTCTAGGACTGGGACAGATGGTTTCCCATCAGGGAATATTCAGGGTTACTTCTGTTTTGAGAAAACTGGGACTTTTTAATCCAGATGCCCCAACCCTCCTCACCTTGCTGTGGTCTGGTGCTTTGAGATCTGCAGATACACAAATTGAGAATTCTTTTTGCATTTTCTTCCTTCTCGGAGTGTAAAACAAATAGGAAATCCAAGGTTTCATTGCCCATATGCAGTGAAATCGCGGCTCTTTCCTATCCTAAGTGAGTCTGGCATTCTTTGAGATGCAGAGCAATGTTGCAAACCCAGGACTTCACTTGGACTAGAATAAAGAGGCTGAAGGCACTCAGGGATCTGACCATAAACATTTGATGCCACAGCAGTTGATTCTCTGATGCCTGGAAGTATGTTAATAAACATCCTTCATGTTTCTCCTGCTTTCTGGTGAGAGAACAAACCAGGAGAGCTCCTGTTTCCGAGTGGTATGCCTAACAGCTCCAGGGCTCAAGCTAATTCTGCTTCCCTCCCCTGTTCAGCACTCTCATTTATGGATTTATGGCTCTGAGTAAGAAGGGAAGTATGAAGTTGGCTGTAATTGGTACTGTGCATAAGTGTAAATTACCATTTCAAATGGGGATGCTCTGCCAGCTATTGCATTTTTTTTCCCTGTCTATTGCTCTTTTTAGACAGTGGGGATTTGTTTGATGTGTGGAATATTTTGGCTCCTGGGAAATGAATCCTACCCCAGGGCTTCCAGCCTGTGGGAGGTTCTGTTGTGCCTCCCAGGCTGCACATTAAGGTGTTGCTGGATGATTTTAGAGGTGCACTGATCACCAAAATATACTGCAGGTATGGAAGGTATTCTTCTTGTTTCTTCGATTGATGAGGTGAGTGTTACCAATGTCACATGAGCAAAGAATGTCAAGCTGTTCTGCTGAAGGTCCAGTTGTCAGCCAGCATCTCCAGCACTTACTGGGCAGCCTTCAGCCCTAAAGGAGTTTCAGAAAAGGGATATGAAAAGTATTTTGCTACTGGGCTGCAAGCAAGTGAAGAAACTGTAGTAGGGTTATAGGGATGAGAAGCTCCATAATTAGGAAAAGTACCTGAATGTGGGAAGCAGAAGATAGGGGTAGCACAGGAGCTGTGGAGGAGGGAATTGGAAAATTCAGGAGATGATAGGGTAACTGGGAAATGCAGGAAGACAAGAAAGTGGTTAAGAAATTTTGCATGCCCTAGCCTCGAACCTGGATTGCCACTTGGAATACCTTAGTTTTGGAGCAAGGGTCTCCGAGTTTGGCTTTCCTGAGAAAATGCTCACAACTTTTTGGCAGCTGCAGTGCTGATCACATCAAATCCTGCAAAAGGGAGCTAAAGAAAATCCAAAATTACACAAAATGTTACCCAAAATGCTGAGCCACGTTTGGGGGTGCATCCAAGGGAATGGTTGAAACTGAACTCCTGTGCTGCAGATTGACAGTGCCTGCACAGACCAAGCCTGGAAAAACAATGTCCCTCCAGTTTTTGCAGCAGGATGAGATCCCAGAACTGGGTGTCCTGTGCTAGTCAGAATGATTTTCCCCATGAATTCCGAAGGGATTTTTGTGCACCTTGGCATTAATGACCAATACAGCCTGCAGGAGGATGTTGTCATCATAAACTCTTCAACCACAGTGAGGTGCCAGACCTGAGCTTGGAGATGTGATCACAGCCACTGCCTCAAAGAGGAGCTTAGTGGCACCCTGAGGTGGCACCGGCCTCGTGGTGTTGGGTTCAGAGCCAGCACCCAAATCTCTCTCTAGGGAGCGTTAGGGTGCAGCAGTGTGGCTTTTGGGAACATTGTTCTTGTCCCTCCCGGCAACTCTGGGTCTCCCTTGCCTCCAGCTCTGCAAACTGTGTGCCATCAGGAGCTCCTGGCCCAGCAGGATCTGCACGAAGGCTGAATTGTGGCAGCTGGCATTGCCTCTTAATATAGAAGTGCGGGGTGTGGCTGCACAGGCACCGCGCTGCAGGCTGCACGCTGAAAAGAGTTGTGCTGCACACCGCAAGGGCTTCTGGCTTTAATAACGAGCCTGAGGTGATCCGTGAGGGCATCAAAGGAAAGACAGAGGCTTCTGAAGGGCTGTCAGGAGCCAGCCCAGGTGGTGCAGAGCAGCCTGAGTGCTTGCTCGGAGCTGGGCTGTGGCAGGAGGGTGGGAAGGGATGGGATGCAGGGAGGGAGCACCTCGGCTGTCTGCAGCACTGCTCGCCCAGGTAACGGGAAGCCCAGAGCTGTGCAGTATGGAATGCCTGTGTGGGCTGGAAAATGGTCCTGCAAGCCATGCTGGAGCTGCACGCTCTCTTTGCTCTGTTGACTGAAGCTTGCTCCTTCAAAACCAGCACAGGCTGAGCTCTGTCATGTAGATGTGCCCTGTGTGTCTTCTTAGAAACCTTGGGAGCTTTCCCACCCCTCCCAAAAGCTGTTTTGAAAGGACTTCTCAACAGTTAACCCTGCAAATGAATAAATCATAATTATGATTCAAATAATCCCAGGAATGAATAATTCATTGTAATAATTGAAAAAGAAATTTCTGCAAGAAGCATTTTACTATTACAAAGGCAAACATCGATTCTTTTTTTTTTTTAAATAATAAGTATATTCTACAGCGAAGTCTTTTTCATCTGGCTGCCATACCCCAATTATATATAATATGAAACAAAAATATGCTTCCTTGTGTGACAGCCATCTCCCCATAAAGGAAAAAAATATGCTTTCTTTTGCATCAGCCGTCTTCAATGCTAATGAGTAAGAAGGGAAAGGGGATTAAGTGACATTTAAATCATATTCACCTCCTTCCTGAGAACAGAGCCAAAGAAAGCAGGGACAGTCAGCTTGTCAAAATGTCCAGAGCCTGAACCAGGAATTGCCAACTAGTTAGGAGGGACGGGGAGGAGGGACGGGTAAAAAGGGGAATGTTTTCCTCTAGATCCGTGCTGCTAAGAAATGGTGTAGGCTAAGCATATGGCTTGCAGCCAGCAAAGGCATCAGATGCTGCGATGATAAAAGCTTGGTTAATAACATTTAGAACCGACAAAGGGCTTTCAAGGGAAAGACAGAATTTTGCCTGGGAAGGATGGAAGCAGAGTCACCTGTTAGCCCCATTTTTGGGTTGTTTCAGGAGAAAGTACAGTGCCGTGAGTTTCTCTGAGCTTTCAAATGCCGAGCGTGGCAGGGACGGGGCAAGCTACAGGTTTCTAAAAGCCAAAAGAGGTGGTAGTCTGTTTGCTTGTGAAATGTAGATTCTGATTTTGGGGAGACGTAGTGCTGACTGTGCGGTGGTGGACAAAAAAAAATAAAAATAAAAATAAAAAAATAGCAAGCTCATGTGATTGGTATGTGGGAAGAGGCAAACTCGATCCGCCCCAAATGAGGAGAGAAACTGCATTTACCTGTGTCTTTCCCCTTCAAACATGTTGCACTGTTTACCGCGACAGGTTGTCTCCATCTGTGGATGGTCCGATGCCGCCGTCGTGCTTGCATCATGGCAGTGACATTTATAAATGGAGGTCCGCGAGCCACAGGCATGGACTGACTGGCTCAAGGGCAACTCCAGCCTGCGGCGGGGACCGGAACACCGACGTCAGCCCGAACCCACGGCTGAGCTCTGAGCCCTGCCCGGAGCCGGCGGTGTTGGACAGCCCCCAGCAGGGTTTTGCCTGAAGGGACAAGGGCAGGATTCCAGGGCGGAAAGGTGGGCTAAAGAAGGGCGGCGGAGGTGCCGCCCTTCTGCCCAGCTGTTGTGAAGCTCCTGACCGGAGAGCTGATCCGCCAGCGCCTTCCCCTCGGGGGTCTTCCCCCAAAAGCCGGCGCCCTTGGGCTGGGGCTGCTGCGTCCTCCGCGGCGGGGGGAGAGGTGGGGCGAGCATCCCCCGTCGGCGGGTGCGCGCGTCCGTCTGGAGCTGAGCGTGTCGGCGCTGCAGCGGCGTGCGTGTCTGTGTCTCTCTGTCTCCGTGCGGGTGCTTGCGTGTGTCTGCGTGTGCCACTCTCCCCGTGTGTGACACTGTGCGTGTGTGCTCGTACAGCTCCCTCTCCCGCTCTCTCTGTTGCGCGTCTCTGTGTCTGTGTGCGCGGGGAGCGCAGCGCGGAGCCGGGCGCGGCAGCAGCAGCGGCAGCAGCAGCGGCAGCAGAAGCAGCGCGGTGCCCCGAGCCCCGCGGCCGGAGGAGGAACCGCTCCGGGAGCCCCGCGGAGCCGCCGGGCGAGCGCGGCCGCACCGAGGCGCAACAGGCGGATGGCGGCGGGCAGCGGGCGCTGAAGGCGAGCGGGGCGAGGCCGAGGGGCAGGGAAGGGCAGGCGAGGAAGGGCAGCGCCGGGCAGAGCGGGCGGGATGCGGGCGGAGGAGCCGCTGGCGCTGGCGGCCCCGCGGGCGGGCGGCGAGGCGGAGGCGGAGGCGCCGGGCGAGGAGCGGAGCGGCGGCAGCTGCTGCAGCAGCGAGCGCCTGGTGATCAACATCTCGGGACTGCGCTTCGAGACGCAGCTGCGGACCCTCTCCATCTTCCCCGACACGCTGCTGGGCGACCCCAGCCGCCGGGTGCGCTATTTCGACCCACTCCGCAACGAGTACTTCTTCGACCGCAACCGGCCCAGCTTCGACGCCATCCTCTACTATTACCAGTCCGGGGGGCGGCTGCGCCGGCCGGTCCATGTGCCCCTCGACATCTTCCTGGAGGAGATCCGCTTCTACCAGCTGGGCCAGGAGGCTATCGAGACCTTCCGGGAGGACGAGGGCTTCATCCAAGAGGAGGAGAAGCCCCTGCCCCAGCACCACTTCCAGCGCCAGGTCTGGCTGCTCTTTGAGTACCCCGAGAGCTCCGGGCCGGCCCGGGCCATCGCCATCGTCTCCGTGCTGGTCATCCTCATTTCCATCGTCATCTTTTGCCTGGAGACCCTGCCCGAATTCCGCCAGGAGCCCAAGGTCCCCCAGCCTGGCTTTGGGGAGGCTGTGCCTCTCGGGGATGAGGCGCTGCTCCTGCCGCCGCTGCCACCGCCGAGCGGGACCCCCCCACCCCTGCGTCCCGTCGCCGGCTCCGGCCCGTTTTTCACAGACCCCTTCTTCCTCATCGAGACCCTGTGCATCATCTGGTTCTCCTTCGAGCTCCTTGTGCGCTTCTTCGCGTGCCCCAGCAAGCCCGAGTTCTCCCGCAACATCATGAACATCATCGACATCGTGGCCATCATCCCCTACTTCATCACCCTGGGCACCGAGCTGGCCCAGCAGCAGCAGCAAAAGCAGCAGCCTGGGAGCAGCAGCAACAATGGGGGCCAGCAGCAAGCCATGTCCCTGGCCATCCTCAGAGTCATCCGCCTGGTCAGAGTCTTCAGGATTTTCAAGCTCTCCAGGCACTCCAAGGGGCTGCAGATCTTAGGGAAGACTCTCCAGGCCAGTATGAGGGAGCTGGGCCTCCTCATCTTCTTCCTCTTCATTGGGGTGATCCTCTTCTCCAGTGCTGTCTACTTTGCAGAGACTGATGACCCTGACTCACTGTTCACCAGTATCCCTGATGCTTTCTGGTGGGCGGTGGTGTCCATGACCACTGTGGGCTATGGGGACATGTATCCCATGACCATTGGTGGCAAGATTGTGGGCTCCTTGTGTGCCATTGCTGGTGTGCTGACAATTGCCCTGCCTGTACCTGTCATCGTGTCCAACTTCAACTACTTCTACCACCGAGAGACTGACCACGAAGAGCAGTGCCAGTACACCCATGTCACCTGTGGCCAGCAACAGTCACCCTTCTCTGAGCCCAAGAAGGGGGACAGTAATCAGTCCCTCAGCAAATCTGAATTCCTGGAAGCAGAAGACCTGGAGTCCATGAAATATTCCAACTTCATTCCTCCTAATAACCAGGGATATAAAGAGAAGAAAATGCTGACAGAGGTGTGATGGGTTTTGTTGTCCTGGGTCCAGACATGGAGCTGCAAGCTGCTTTTACAGTCGTCTTCCTACAAGCAGCTGGATCTATTCAGCATTTACATGCCAGACTGTGAATTGTGATACCGTAAACAGAATGATTGTGATAATGGGCTCTTCTGGCCTGATTTGCTGTTTCTCATTACTGTGTGCAGCCAGAAATGTTCTTGCTTTATTCTGTGGAGTGCTAGCTGTCATCCCCACTCCCTTGTGCATTTCTCTCTCTGCTTTTGATGACTGCTTTAGTCCATCGTTTGCTCCGAAACCAAGTCTTGTTGCTCCACTAGCAGAGAAGCCCTTACCGCTACTTCAGCAGAAGCATTCAGCAGCCTAAACAGTTAAAGGGGCTAAAACATCTGGCTCGAGCTGTGCTTTCAGTCCTTGTGCCAGCGCAGTGCCCTTGGCTGTGGGATCAGTCACGCCTGCCATGCCATTGCCTTTGAATAATGGAAACGCTGCAGCCAGGATCACAGGGAGCTCTGCAGCTGTAGAGGAAAGCCAGCAAGAAGATGCCTGCCTTCTTTGCAACCCTTGGCATGCTAAAAGATCCTCCTGGTTTGTGTTTAAAAAAAAAAAAAAAAAGGGTGCATAAATCGAAAAGCTCTTTGCTACTTGTGACCATACATCATGCATCAAAAACAAGCTTAAAGCAGTCAACAGGCTGGGTGAAGATTCTCTGGGTGTTTTGAGCTTATCTCAGCCTTATTTATGCCAGTGCCCTGATGTTAATTGGCTTTTATAGTATCAACTCAATCTTCATAGTGGTAAGTGCCTTCTGATGCAAGGCGTGTTTGAGTAAATTCATTTGTTATCTGCAGAGTTCGTCTTCACACAATAGCGTTTAATGACATGTGCTTTGTGCTTCAGATACCCAGCTCTGTATTCAGGCATGTGAAAGCAGTTGACTCCGCTGCTTTTTTTAATTGAGCATTTGTGTTGCTGAGGGAAGTTTGCATGTTGGCGTTTTGTTGATGTGGCAGGAAAATCCTGACCACAGACTGCTCTGCACCTGTGCTGCGTGAGGATCGCGCTGGTTTAGCAAGTCACAGGCATAAAATGCCCCAGGGCGACTGTGCCAACATTTGAAACTGAGACTGGCAGGGATACAAACTTCCCTAAGCTGTCTGCACAAAGCCAGCAGCATCCTCCAGACCCTTTGAATGAGGGGAGAAATGGTGAGCCCTGAAGAGATGCTTTTGCTGTATTGCTGGCATAGCCAGTTCCTGGTATTTCGTGGATAGGAGGGACAGCAGTGTTTTTGCACTTGGTTTTATGAGAGCAATTTGTGCCAGCCATGCAAAATATGCATAGTTGGGCCTGCACTGCCAGGTTTGCCAAGGGACCAGAGATTTCGGTCTTCAAATACACTTATTGCTTCCCAGATAATTTCATTAGTTTCAGTAGCTATTCCTTACACCTAACTTTAAAAATGTTTTGAGCTCTGCCAGCAGGTGAGAAAGGGAAATGGATGCTTTCAGATTCCACTGGCAGATTTTCCTGCAAGGAAAAGTCCTTCTTATTTTAATTCTGAGTGTTTATTCTGCATTCATACATCTGCATGTGTATGAAAGCAAAGGCAGCCATTAATGCCTTGCATCACACTGTATGAAATGCATATTGGAATGTACTACATATTGCATGGGACATGTGTGATACATAAACCAGAAATAATGCCAAGGTGCAAAAATACAGAGAATAGATTTTGTACATATATTGTGCTTTTCAGCCATAAGACTAAGAATGCTAAATGTATATCATAGAATCATAGAATGACCTGGGTTGGAAGGGATCTTAAAGGTCATCTCTTCCCAAAGAGGGACACCTTCCACTAGACCAGGTTGCTCAGAGCCTCATCCTTTAATGTAGTCAAAACTGGCTATAGAACTGTTTGTGAGGTGGGATCTGTTTGCATCTTCATTACCCTGCCTATTTTCAGTTGTCTTGAGATATGGCTCCATGCCTAGAGTGCTTTTATTGTGCCCTCTCTCCCTCCTGGCCCTGCTCATATGGTAGAAGTTGTTTGTGCAAATCCTAACTACTCCATTTCTCCAGAGTCACGTTGTCTTCTCAATTATGTTTAGTGTGCAGGGATCTCTCTTTGGGTCAGCACACAATTATTGTATTAAAACCTCTGCTCTCTCTCTTTCTGAACTCAGCAGGGAAATGCCACTTGTCTCAGTCTGGGAGAAACAAGTTTGATATGGTGAGGGCTCCTAGCTCAGAGGGGTTTGCCTGAATAAAGCCTAATTTCTCTTTGCTTCATGGGACTGAGGCAAAGGTTTGTGAAGGTCTGAGACTTGGGGACTAATTCTGCATCCCTTGATGTGTGTAATCAGCTGGTGGGTAAATTGTCTGGGTGAATAAGTGGGACTGAGGGGCATGGTGGCATCTCTGTTGATTTTGTGTAAAACTTGTCCAGCTCTTGGTGTGTCTTAGTCTTGGTGGTGTTCTTAGCTGTGTTTTGAGGTCACCTTAATGAAATCTTTTCTGTGAGGCCAAGAGAGGGACTCTTCTTCAAATTTTGTTTTGCTAGAAACTAGCTAGAAACTAGCAAAAGAAGCTGCTATTTAAGAGGGATGTTTCAAGGCTGCTGCCCTCTCCCAGCAGAATGCCCAAGTTTGGGGATATTTTATGCCTGAGTCTATCAGCTGATAAAAGTTCCCCCAAAGTAAGATATAAAAAATTCAGGTTGAACCCAAGTTCAGGAGGAGTCATGAGACATGCTGAGCCTACGTCAGAAAATTCCTGTGCTCATTTCTCCCCCTGGGCCCGGCCCTGTTGGCCCTGCCGGGCAGGAGCCCTCCCTGCCCAGAACAGATTTTCTGTGCCCAGAACCAGCACAACAGACAGCTGGGCACCGAGACTCCAGCAAGAAAAAAAGATGTGAGGCAGATCACTGATAGCACAATCCCAGTGTGTCTGCTGCAGATCCTCTTGGAAAGGTGTCCTGCCCTTGGGTGGGAACCAGAAGTGAGTTTCCAGGTGGAATCCAGCAGTGAGTTTCTAATGGGTTTTGGAATCTCCCGCCCGCAGATTGCACTGAAGGTGCAAAGGAATTCTGTGGTGAACAAGGCAGCTCTGTGCAGTTTTTGTGAGCCACGTTTGTCAGTTCCGTAAAGAAAGTGCACATGAAAATGTGTAAAGCAGGGGTGGTGTTTGCTCCCTGTGCTTTCTATGTTGGCTCTAAGAGAAATATAGAACACCAGCAGAAGCATGGAACTGTAACCTCGGGAATCATTTGGGAATGATGCTGAAGAAATCCTTCTCTAAGCACCTCCTGAAAAGCAGTGAAATCCCAGAGTCATCAGTAATGCCACATGTTACAGAACTTGTGGAATTGGACCTTTTTTAAGGAGGCTTCAGTTTGTTTTTTTTTCACATGACTGAAATGACACAGTGGCACCCGTACCATTGACTTTACCAGAGGTCTTGTGCCACCGAATCACAGAGATGCTTTCAAAAACCTTACTTCAAATTCTCAGCCCTTAGCACTGCCCCCGGCTGCTCAAAATGCAAATCTGTTTCCTTCTGAAGGTGAAGCCAAGTAGGCACCTCCAGGGACTTGTTTCCATAACAACCTCCCGGACTGTTTCTCTCTGTGCCGTGACTGTGGCTACAAGCAAAAGCACTCGACGGATATTCTGTGTTCAGATATCAGCACCTTATCTTTACAGATGTTTTCTTTGCTTATCGGAGCTGATCCCATCACCTTGTCATGTACAACTGCCCTGTCCAACTTCAGGTGGGCAGTCTCCAGCCTTTGAAAGCAGGGAGTGCAAACCTGGAGACGGGAAGAGATTTTATTTGTGTGTCCTTGCAGACACAGAGCTGGAGAGTGTGTGAAGGACAATCTGAGCACTCAGCCAGGAAACTGAGGGGCAACCAGCCTGTGAATGTAGAGTCATCTGGGTGCCTGGTGACAAGGAATACAAGAATACAAGCTAAAGCATTACATTAAAGACCCAGAAATTCCTCTTGCAGCAATCTCACTAGAAAATAGTTTTGCAGTGGAAGAGACTATTGCTCCTTCCAGATCCTGTGGCTGGTTTGTGATTGTTGGTTCTCCTGATAATTTTCCCATGGTATTTGCACCAAAGCAGGACAGGGCAAAAATCATCTCCTTGGAGGTGGGGAAGGAAGGAAAGGAAGAATTTTACTGAGGACACCAATTTTTTTTATCCACACAAAGGACTGGAAGCATGAAAAGCACGAAGACCCGTTCTGTGGTGTTTTGCTGGTGGATTCCTGCTCTTACCTCCAAGATGAAATTCCTGTTCTGCTCCTTCTAGGAAAATGTTGGAATTTGGGATTTTTGAGTAATTTTTGATTTGGGCCTTTTGATCCAGCTTTCACGGATAAAAATTTACTGTACGGCAGCCGTGCGGGTGAAGGTGACTGCACTTGGTCTTCTCCCCTGGGTTCTCTCATTCAAAGGTTCCCTATGAGATAAAGAAGAATGAGTGTAAAGAAAATTCAGGGCAGCAAGAAACAGGGTAAGGACTGAAGCGTCTTCCATATGGTGATGGAAAGATCAGCATCAACCCTAAAAGCAAAGGAACAAACAGCTCCAGCATCTGCTGCTATAGCAGAAATAGGTAAGGTTTCTTTTTGTTCTGGGAAATTAATGACCAAGAGTTTCTTGAAATTAATGAGGAAGTATTTCCTAATTAAGATTTGCAGCCTAAAGGGAGAATTTGGTTCTAGGTGAAGAAAGAAAGATAATTATAAACTACAGAAATGTAGTATGAGCCAGAACCTCACCATCTGCTAATTCAAGCTGGCAAAACTCCTTTAAGTACAACTACCTTGGATGATATCAGGCTCCAACTTCAATCTTCTGCATCAAATCCAAGCATATGTACTGTTTGTTCAACTGCTTCTTTTTCTTTGTTCTTTTCTTGAGGTCCTGTTTACATCAGGGAAAGATCTGCAGATTGCAGCAGGAGTCAACCACAGCTTTCCCAAAAGCTCTCATCTCACTCAAGTCCAAGTAAGTCCTACCAAACTCGGCAGAGCTAAGCTTAACTTGACATTTATATTGGCAAAAATTAAGAGCAGCAGCATTTTATGCATTTATTTCTCAGTGGTGGAAAGATGTGGACAGATTCATGGGGAATTGGAAGATACTGCCCTCCATGGCAGCCCTGTGAGCACAAGATAGCTCTGTTTGTGCTGCTGTAACTAAAAGTACAGCCTTGAGCCCTTCATTGCTGCTCTTTGAAGCTTGCACTGGAGACAGATCCCCCTCTGAAGACATTTACAGCCGTGTTATCAGCAGGTTCACAGGAGAAAACCTGAATTGCAGGCACCTGCTTTAGGCATAAGGAGGGGAGCAGGTGTTGGCAGGATGAAAAGACTTAATCCCCTGATGAAAGGAACCAGGGGATGCTGGGTGCCCTTAGCTGCCACCAAGGACTGTGGCTGAGGAAACTGCCTGCCAGTTTCAAGGAGCTCTTCTTGTCCATCCTGGAGTCCTACATAATACAAGACCCTACCCAGGGAGATACATCCAGAAAAACCTTTTTTGGGAAAGCAGACAAGGACTGTGCTAATTAACAGTGCAGCATATGCTATCAGTTCATGTT